AAAAAACAAAAGAGATAATGAGAGTTGATAAAGTTGTCGAGAAATTGAAACCCTTATATACTGTTGGTGAGAATGTAAATCAGTATAGCATTATGGAAATAAGTATGGAGGTTCCTCAAAAAAATTAAAAATAGAACTACCATATGATCCATCAATCCCACTTCTCGGTATTTATCCAAAGGAATTGAAATCAGGATCTCAAAGATATATCTGTACTCCCATGTTCACTGCAGCATTATCCACAATAGCCACGATACAGAAGCAACCTAAATGCCTAATGGATGGGAAATTAAACACACACACACACAATAGAATATTATTCAGCCTTACAAAAGGAAATCTTGCCACATGCGAAAACATGGATGAACTTGGGAGACATTATGCTAACTGAAATAAGCCAGTTATACAAGGACAAAACTGCATAATCCCATTTATATGAGGAGTCTAAAATAGTCAAGCTCATAGAAACAGAATAGATAGAAAGGTGGTTGCCTGGGGCTGGAGGGAAAGGAGAAATGGAGAGTTGTTCAATAGGTATAGCACTTCGGCAATTAGAGATAAATAAATTCCAGAGATCTGCCTAACAACATAGTGCCTGTAATTGACAACACTCTACCGTACACTGAAAAATTTAAGAGCATAGATCTCAAGTTAAGAATTCTTACCTGCCTGTACACATACAAATAGGGGCAAAGGGAAACTTTGGGAGGTAATAGAATACATTTATTACTTTGATTGCACTGATAGTTTCATTAGTGTATATATATGTTCAAACCCATCATGTTGTATACATTAAACATGTTCAAGTTTTCAAGTATCAATTATATGTAAATAAAGCTGCTAAAAAAATAAAAGCACTAAAAAGTTTTCTTTAAATAACCTCAATCGTTGTTTATTTTCATAATAGTCCCTTATATGTAGTGGCACCAACATGTTCATTAACCTGACTGACTGATGCTTACTTCCTAATTAGCATTATTGATTAAAATTAATTATTATTACTATATTAGTATAATTTATACTGATAAGAACCATGTGCAATTGGCACAGGTCAGTGATTTCAATTTTCTCATGTACTTTCTGCCTTCATTAATATGACAAAATATTCCTTCTAGCTTTATAATCTATTTTTTCTATGCAAAGTCATCCAATAATGATTTCACTAGTTTTTGACTTGTACTAAATCTAAACCTGGGCCCAAGCATACGGAGGTATTGACTTTCCTTCAGTCCTAAAATGATAAAACAATAAAAATGCAGACATTGTTCATCATCAAGAAAACAGCGTTTTTCAAGTTCACAGGCTGTTTCAGCAAGATACATCCGGCATTGTGAGCCACAAAGATTTCTTTCCTCACATTTCAGATCCCTTTTTCCTTACCTCTGTCCTAACTATTCTCATTCCACATTTGTGTTCACTGGTCCACCTTATTCTAAGTTAAGTGTGTTATAGAATGAATTCTTAGCCTCCTATCACCTTTCTTAATTCTATATATATACCCTTTGACCTTTCAAAGGGTTGTGTCCACACATTTTAACCAACTCAATGGCAAATATATTAGATTCACAGCTTCAATGGGGCACGCTGTATTTGAAAGGTCAAAGTAATAGGAAATCTGGTGACTAAAGTGCCCTCCCTCATTGATACTAAAATCACAGATTAAAAAAGGTGGGGATTGTCTGAAGCTGTCTTTTCTCCTTCTCTCCCGTATCTTTTCCTTTTTCCTGAGGATGGTGAACATCTGTGTCTGTAGGGAAAGAGAAAGAGAGAAGAGAAAGGGTGAGAGGAAGAGAAGAGGTAAGTAGGAACTGGATAATGTATGTAACAATTGCTAAGATGGATATAGCTATCACTTAATTGGAAGAAAAAGAATATAAGAGATATACAAGATTCAAACAGGAGAGGGATCTTTGGATTGGGGAAATAGAGCTGAATCACAAAATCCAAGGCTGAAGTATCCTAAATGAGTCCACGTCTTTCTTTAGAGTTTACAACCCGCTGGTAATTTTCAGTAGCTCGCCCACTGCATTTCCACATGGCCCAGGCTGACTTCTGGCATGGACTCTTCTATCTCTTCCCTGTCTCTGGCCTCCCTTTCTCTAACTTCTAGAAACCTAGCATGTTCACACTGGTTTTCCAAAAACTTCTAGTACTCCCTGATTTCCTTTTTTTTTTTTTTTCTTTCCAGCCCCAAATCAATTCTTATTCCAGTACTGTTCAGGTAGGTAATTGGCCTGGTTATCTGATTAAAGTAATCAGATAAAAATGAGTCAATTTCTATTCAAAAGGTATACTTCAAAGAAGGAGGTTGTTAACCCTAGTGGGTCTCTATGTACATTTTCTGGTTCTTGAGGAAGTGGTTTGTCATCAGATTTTCAAATGAACCCACCCCCAGGACAATTAAAATACAGTACATTCATCTAATTAGGAAAGTGCATATGGGAACTATTTTTGAACTGGTGTACAAAAATGGGCTCCTGGTCTAGTTAGAGGAGTGGTTCTCAACCTTCCTAATGCCGCGACCCTTTAATACAGTTCCTCATGTTGTGGTGACCCCTGACCATAAAATTAGTTTCGTTGCTACTTCCTAACTGTAATTTTGCTACTGTTATGAATCGTAATGTAAATATCTGATACTCAAGATGGTCTTAGGCAACCCCTGTGAAAGGGTTGTTTGACCCTCAAAGGGGTCACGACCCACAGGTTGAGAACCACTGAGTTAGAGGGACCCTCATATGCCACTCCTATCGATCCAGAAATCTGATTAGCCTTCCTCCATTTCTCCTCTCGCTTTTGCAAATAACATACCTCATAGCAGAATAAGGTATTGTTTGGGGAGACTGAAGGGCAGAAACAGTGAGCAGTGGAGGGCCCAATAGCCAACCTTGCACTAATAAGCTAAAATATATAAATAAAAAATTTGAAATAAAATTTAATGACTGTACATATTATATATTAGTTTTCATTGAAACACTAAAACTATCAGAAAAGTTGTAAGGACAGTACAATACACTACCATCTACACTTCATCTAGATTTATTAACTTAACAGTTTATCACATTTGCCTTCTCTATCTTTGCTAAACAATTTGAGAATAAGTTCCATGTATTAAAAACTTTTATCCCTAAATACTTCACTATTTCCTAATAGTAGATACTTTCTTTCATAACCTAGCGCAATGATAAAATTCAAGAAGCCTGACAATGAAACAATATTCTTATCTCATCTGAAACTCATATTCAAAGTTCAAAAATTGTCCCCAAAATATTCCTTTCTAGAATTTTTTTTCTAGGATCACACGCTGCCATTAGTGACAGGTCACTTGAATCCTTTAAATCTAGAAAGGTTCCTTAATCTTTCTTTGTCTTTCACGACACTGACTTTTTTAAGAGTACTGATTAGTTGTTGGGTAGAATGTTTCTTAAATTACATCTTTTTGGTTATGTCCAGATTCATAATATACATTTTTGTCATGGATACTACAGAAGAGATAGCATGTGCTCAGTACCTCACATCGTGTCATTTTATCCCACAGTTGGTAACATTAATTCTGATAATTTGGAGTGGTGTCTGCCAGATTTCTACATTGTCAAGACAGCTTTGTTAACCCATTGTAATGAATAAGCAGTCTGAAGACTATGTAAATATCCCAGCCAGATTTCACCCCAAAATTTTAACACCTATTAACAATTTTGTCTGGATATTACTATAACAGTTGCAAAATGACTTCCTAATTCCATCATTTCTCCCATATGTACTAGTTAGCATTCACTGTCAAGAACTTTCACTTCCCCCCTTATATTAATATTTAAAAGTTTAAATATGCACCGATGCATTCTTTTTTAAAATTAAATGTTCAAATTGTCTCAGATTTGGTAAGCAAGGGTGCCTTCCACCTGACCTGTCTCCTTTTTTTTTTTTTTTGACATAGGCTCCCTGACGTATCCAAGAAATCTCCTTGCTTTCTGGCACAAGGTCTTTCAAGGGCATTTTATACTTTCCTCTCTCTGCTCTAGAATCAGCCATTTCGTCAAAGCGGGCTGCTTTTTAGTGGAGAATGGTATTTAGAAGCCAAGATCTGAGGGCACATAATATATTTCAACATATTAAAATGTCGCTCTTCTTGTTTCCTTGGGTCACCGTATGGAACACTGGAGTGGTGATTTATAATCCTAACTCCAGCATTACTTGTGTAACTTTGGCAATCCCCTTCATTCCTTGCAACCTGCTTCGTCATCTGAAAAGAAATTGGATTAGATAAATATTTCTCAACCTTTTCAGGGTCACCAACACGTCTGGGAACAGGATAGAGCCTATGGTCCCATCTCCCCCAGAGACATGCTCAGAAAAGCAAGCATTTGCCTACATTTCGTGGGGTTCCAGGCGCCGAAGCCCATCTGAGGCTCCAAATCTCGGCTTAAGTCACCTCTAGGGTCTCTTCAACGCGGGACAGTTCTGAGTCTGTAGGCGACCGTGCTGCTGCCCAAATGATTGCTCGGAGACCTCGAAGTGTGGAGGGATGTATATAGCAACGAGATGAGCACAGGACACAAAGAAAGGAGGCTGTGAGCAATGCGTTGCTCAGCGGCAGCTCCGTGCCAGCACCACATTTAAGGTGCACTGTAGTCGTAGGTGACCGGTTTTGGCGGGAAGGGCCGCGGGTGGGCGGAGAACGCCGGGGCGGCGAGGGAGCCCACGGGCGGTTCCCGCTCGCTGCACCCCCTCGGCACCGCCCACCAGGGCTCGCTCTTGCCCTTCGGCTGGAAGGCCGAGGTGCCGGGCGGGCCGGGCGGCGACCCCGCCCCTGGCAGCGCCGAGGCGGAGGGGACAAGCGAGGGCGCGGGTGCCGGAAGGAGCGCTACCGCCGGGCCCGCGCCCCTCCCCGAGCGTCGGCCCCTCTCTCTCCCGCCCGCCGCCGACGTCGGCGGTGCTCCGGTCGCCATGGTGACCAATCGAGGCCCGGTCCCGCCCCCGCCCCTCTGCCCCGGCCCCCTGACGTCGGCGCACGTCAGCGGCGGCGCGCGCCTGGCTGGGCCCTGCGGAGCGGGAGGGTAGGAGCGGAGGAGCGAGCGGAGCGGTCGTCGCCCGAGCTGAGCCGCGCCGCGCTGCCCGCCCGTCCGCGCTCTGTCCGCCGAGTCTAGCAGCGGGGCCCAGCATGGTCATGGCGGATGGCCCGAGGCACTTGCAGCGCGGGCCGGTCCGGGTGGGGTTCTACGACATCGAGGGCACGCTGGGCAAGGGCAACTTCGCCGTGGTGAAGCTGGGGCGGCACCGGATCACCAAGACGGAGGTGCGGCCCGGGGCTCGGCGGGAGCGTCCGAGGAGAGGGTTCGGGAGAGGAGCTGTTTACCGAGAGGGGCGGCCGCGGTGGTGGGACCGGGGAGACCCGAGAGGCCGCGCCACTGGCGAAGGCGAGCGGGCCTGGGACCGTGAGCACCCAGGAGGTGCAGGGGGTCGGTGAGCAGCGAAGGGATCGGGCCGGTCCCCCGGACCCGAGCGCCGTCCGCCTGGAAACCCGCCCGGCCGGGGCTTTGCTTTCCCCTACGCCACCCTCGGTGGCCACACGGAATTTCTCCCAGAGCCTCCCACCCGGGCCGTGACCTGGTCTGTGGCCTCCGCTCCGGAGCCCAAGTTCCGCGTCTTCCCTGCTTTCGGCTGGGGGTGGGGTGGGAGGGGAAGTCTGGGTGCTCCCGGGCTGCGCCGAAAGAGACGTCGCCCGCGGTAGGAGGGGACCGCCTGCTCTTGGGCTCCGCGGATGGGGGATCCGGCGACCCCGGCGTCCTTCCCCTGCCCAGTGAGGAAGGGGCCCCTGTGGCCGGGAATGCCTAGACCGCAGCTGTCCATCTTCTCTCCTTCCTTTTGCCCCACAGGGTCTCTGATTTGGTGCCTGGATAGCTTGATCTCTTGTCTAGGGCATTTATTTCCATCTAATACTCCAGACAATAGAACTGGATGAAACGGTCATCTCCACGTTTGCACAGTTGGTGGGTTGGTCTTCTTGTCTAGGGTTTTCCCTTTACCAGGTGTGCGTTCCGGCTGTGAATGCGCGTTCTGTAAGCCCAGCGGATTCCGCCTCTACTCATAAAGCCCTCCGCTGCTTCCTGAGGGTGAATCCAGCACCCTCTCCACTGCACATTCTAATGCACCGCACATATTTTCTCACAAGTCTCTGTTCTTACCTAACCCGCCTCCCTTCCTTCCACTGCCTCAAGCTGCTCTCCTTAGGGTCTCTATTTTAAGACGTGCAAATTAAATACCTTAGCTTTAGAGAAACCGTGGAAACAAACCATCCTTTACAGTAAACGGAGTGGTTTTGACATTGTAGTTGCTACTGGAGTTTCATCTTTTTTCATTCCCCCTCCCAGTTTTAAACGTATTCCGTTTTCCCCCATATTAGTATGAACGTTTTGGAGTTTGTGGAATAAAGTAGGACTTTTTTTCCAGAATGACTTAGGTTAGGCGAAGGGCATTTGAAAACTCGAGTGATTTTTGTAGCTTTTGTACTTACAAGTTTTGCTTACTGTCCGTTTCCAAAAGGAAGAGGTATACTCGAATGTCATTCAGTCATATTCACTTTTTTTTGCCTTCCCCAACTGATCTGTAGCAGTCTCGATCTGACTTTATTTTTTAACAGCAGGACAAAGGTTACAGATTTTCCTCTCACAAATTTACCGGTGTTAGCAATTTAGATTGTTTGTGAAGATAATGATAATCTGTCTATAGTAAATCTTTGCATAACTTAACGTGATCCCAGCCTTGTTAAAAATGAAGAAATTGATTCTGTTCTTCTGAAGAGCCATGGCCTAATGCCATGCCATTTCCCCTGGAGTTACATAAAAAGAAGTAAATGCATAGTTTTGTGAGTTCTTGCTTAATGACTGTTTGAAAGTCAAATTACAAGTTATAGAGAGGATCTACAGAACTTTTGAACTAGAGTATATATTGAATTATTCCAAATTTATCAGATCACAACATTTTCCCCATCAGCACTTACTGCATTCATATCAAGATTTAATTAAGTCAGTTGTTATTTGTAAGATCGAATTTATTTAATACAGTGTCTATTTTAGAGCTGCTTAAGTGAAGCTGATAGTGACTGACACTTTCTTGAGGTTGACAATTCAAAAGGTGTCTCCTTTAAATGCTGTATTTTAGAGAGGTAGGGGGCGCTGTAGAGTAATATCATGGTTCGGATATCAGAGTGAGATCAATGCATTCATTTTGTAATTGAAGGCACTGGTTAGATCATGAAAGAGCACTTAGATCCTAAATTGTGTGTGTGTGGTATATGTGATTTAAGTTGAAAGCTAAATTTTTAGTTCACAGAACTCATCTCCCTTGGGCTTTTCTAAAGAAGTTGTCCTTAACATTAAAAACTAATAGTTTGAGTTTAAGGTGGGAGAGTGTGGGAGGGCGGCGCCTGTGGCTCAGCGGGTAGGGCGCCGGCTGCATATCCCAAGAATAGCAGGTTTGGCCCTGGCACTGGCCAAACTGCAACAACAACAACAACAAAAAAGATGGGAGAGTGTGTTTGTAGTAATTTGGTGCGATTGGTGATAATAACATAGAGGGAGTGAGGGAAATGTCAAGGCAAGTGCTGATCAGAAAAGTTCCTTTAGCTATCTAGTTTTGTAAAGTTGCTCTGTGAGTTTTTATTGGTAATTTACATTAAGAATTGTTTAGCAAAGGGCACAGATAGAATTGTTCCATAAAGTATTCTATTTGTTAATGAGAGTTTTTTTTAACAGCAATATTCGGTAACTTTATTCATTCACTGGATAAATAGGTGTGTTTTTGATAAATACAACAGCCACCTTAAAAACTGTAAGATGGGTAGTGAAAAGTTCATTTTAAATTGTTCTAGGTTCTCATTGCTGAACTCCAATAATTACAGTGCAGACAGTGAATATGATTGGTATAAAGAACAATCAGCAAAATATCATTATTAAAGTTTCTTCATATACTGTTTTCATGTTAATATAAATTAGTGCATTTTAAAATTTAAAGACCTTTTTTCCCCCAAGTTAGATCCTGAAACAAATTTTAGGAGTTAGGTTAAACGTCTCTGTGCTGACCAATCAGACTCTTTTATTGGCTCTTCTCTGTCTCTTACTCTGTATTACTCAAAAATGGTCTATTTTCTTCTGAGCTTGGGAGATCCATGTCTGTTTTCCCTTAAAAAAAAAAAATTAGTAGACAAAAGAGATCTTCATTTTGGGTTAATCTATCAAACAGCATCACACTGTTTAAGAAATATAATTGCATCATCATCTGAAGTGGTATTCTTACCTTATTAGATCTCTGTGAATTTTGCACACAAAAGGGAAACCAGGTGCTGGTTGAATCCAGCTTCCTAATGTAATACTTCATAAAAGCGTTGTAGTATTGGTTTGTGGTTTATGAATTAGAGGAGCTAATTTTATAAAATTAGCATAATGGGGAAAGAATAATAGCATTTAAGCTGTTAAACTATTTTAGGCAGTAGTGGTTGCTAGTTTGCTATTCTGTGAATGTCCTTGAGTAGCGTTTTATTAATACTACACAGTACTAGGAAATAACTCTTTCTAGGTAATTGTGTAGCTAGCCTTTTGTCTCTTAAGTAAAATTCTACAATAGCCACTTGTGCCCTTAAATCTTTTTGTTTTCTGAGTGTTAAAGAGATAGGGTCTTACTATAAAAAATATAAAGAATATAGTGCATAAGAGTATACGTATTGTTCCTCCACCAATGAAAATAAACCATTCTTAATATGAGTCTTTTATTTAAATGTATTTTTTCCCGTAGATGAGAATACATGATAAACATAGGTAAATAGCATTTTTTCCACCTAACGTTATAAACTAAGCATTTTGCTTATAAAACATTATAAAACATTTTTAACAGCTGCATAGTGTTCTGTGTTAGGGATGACTTCAATTTTACTTAACAATTCCCTTTTTATTAAATATTACATAATTTCCAGTTTTCACTTACAGTAGATAATTTGAAGTAAACATGTCTATATGTATAACTGTATTGGTATAATTAAGTTTTTTTAAGAAGGAGGAATTGCTGGCAAATTCCTAGAAGGGAATTTACTAAGTGAGAAGGTATATTAAAGAGTGTAGTGTATTTTTATTATCAAATCTCTTATATTTATTTTAAGCAATTTTTAATTTAAAAAAAATTTAAGTATAGATAAATGGAAAGAATTACCATACTGTCACTACCCAAAGACCATCATTAGTTATTTTTCAGGCCTTTTCTATGACAGATAACTTCATTTTCCCCAATACCATACTTCTTGTATTGCATAGCTAAAGAATTTATAAGTGTGTGGGTCATTCAATCTTAAAGAAAATTCTTAAGAGTTTTGGAAAATTACCTTTTTAAATTAGGTGTTAGGCTACTTACTTTTCCTTAAGAGAACCTGGAATGCAAAACTGTTACCAAGAACATTCTGAAAACTGTTTTTGTTCACTGAAAAGCTTTCTATGTACATAGTGAGGCTTTTATAGTTAGACATAATTTTTTAACTACTACCTTAAAAAATGGGAGATTTTTAAAAGCTTTCCAAAATAGTGAAGGTATCAAAATTGTATTTTTATAGCAAAGATAGAAACAAGAGAAGGGCATATTATACCCAGATTAGAATGTTTCTTGAAAAAGACTCATTTTTAAAAATACATTTGAGTTTTATATTTTGCTTTGACATTTTAAGACTTCTCTCAGAACTTTTGGTATTAATCTTGCTCTATAAAATATTCCAGATTTCAAGAACCCATTGTACTATATGCAACAAAAGGCCTTGTTACAAAACAGCTTAATCATTAATATTTGTATCTAGTCCTATGTATAATCTTTAATTGTGTATTGAAATAAAAGTTGTATTGGTCATGGAATGTATATGCCGTCATTGAATAATTGTCTAGTTTCTTGGAACTTCAAACAAACAATGTTTGTCAAATTATTCTGCTAAATAGTCTTCAAAATGATCTGTTCCTTTTTGGGAGGGAGAACAAACATACAAAATAAGGGTTGTGTGAATTTTTTTTTTTTTTTTTGTAGAGACAGAGTCTCCTTTATCACCCTCTGTAGAGTGCTGTGGGTGGCTTCATAGCTTACAGCAACCTCCAACTCCTGGGCTTAGGCGATTCTCTTGCCTCAGCCTCCTGAGTAGCTGGGACTACAGGCTCTCACCACAATGCCTGGCTACTTTTTGTTGCAATTCTCATTGCTGTTTTTAGCTGCCTGGTGCAGGTTCGCACCCTCCACCCTGGGTACATAAGGCTGGCGCCCTACCCACTGAGC